TATATATATGTAGAGCAGGTACTCAGTATGTTTAGGGCTAAGCCAGTCCTATCTCTAAATTCTCACAACCATGCACCCAGTAGTTGTTATTATTATCATTCCTGCTTCACAGATGGGCTCCTTGGAGAGCAAGGGCCCCAGGCCAGGGAGAGAGGGAACTGGGCATCATCCTATTGGGTGCAGAGCCTCCTTGCCTCTGTCACCTCCACTCCTTTTTTTTTTTTTTGGTACGGGGATTGAACTCAGGAGCTTGTGCTTTTGAGGCAGGCGGTGGAATAGAGCTAAATTCCTGCCCCCGCCATTTTTTTTTTTTTTTTAAATTTTTGAGACAATTTCTCACTATGTAGTTCAGGCTGGCCTGGAACTCCCTCTGTGGCCCAGGCTGGCATCCAATGCACAGTGATCCTCCTGCCTCAGCTACCTGAGTGCTGGGATCACAGGTGTGCACCACCATGCCCGGCTCCCTTCCATTTTTTACCCTGCCCATTTCTCTTGCTCTGTTCTGTTTTTTCCTTGCGGGGCGTGAGGAAGCCTTTCCTCTCCCTCTTTCCTAGTTCCGTCCCTGATGGCTAGACACCCTCTCCCGTCCCAGTCTGCCCCAGGCTGTTTTCTTGTTCCTGCCCAGGACCAATTTAGCAAATGCTCCAATCCTCTTAGGACAACTGCCCAGCCTCAGCAGAATGGTGGGGAATTAGGGAGGATTAGGCTCAGACTGGGGCCTGGGGGGAGGGGGCTTGCTGGAGACAACGGCTCTAACCTCAGCCCTGGGACAGCTGTGGTCACACAGTCACTCTAACTGAGAGTGGGACTTCGACCCCTCCCTGGGTCACCGGCTCGGGATCCTCACCAAGACAGGCAGCTCTCCCAGGCCGGGACTGAGCCCTGGCCTGCTGGGGGCTTCTCAGAAGAAACGCAGGCTGGGGGAAGGGAGCTGAGTGGCTCTGGGTCGCACTGGGGTCACTTTGGTACAACGCTTTTATTTTTTAAAATAAATTTTATTTTATTTTAACCCATTCCCCCAAGCCCCCTCTCCTCCCTATGTACAGAAGCTTTGTTTCCATTTTTTCCTTCTATTTTACTTTTTTCTTGTCCCTTCCTTCCTTTTTCCCTCCCTCCTCCCTTGTTCCCTTTCCCATTTGAACATCCATTTCCCATTTCCCATTTCTCAACATCCATTATACACCTTAGTCCTTATTTCCACTTTTGCTGCAATGCTTTTATTTAAAAAAAGTTTTTTGGTTTTTTTTTGAGACAAAGTCTTACTATGTAGCCCATGCTGGCCTTGAACTCGTGGTGATCCTCCTGCCTCAGCCTCCCAAGTGCTAGGATGACAGCTGGGCACTACTACACCTGGCAGTGATAATGGTTTTAGGGAGGAAAAGGCATTTCAGAGAAAGAGTGGAGAAAAAGAGATTCCATAGGAACAGCAAAACCAAGACAGATGCCCAAAGCACCAGATGGACACCACCGACAGCCACGAATGTAAGTCCACACACAAGCAGTTGTGGCTGTGCGCACTGTGTTCCCTGCTACCCCTGAGGCTGAAGCAAGAGGATCTCGTGAGCTCAGGGGTTTGAGGCCAGCCTGGGCCACACAGTGAGACCTTTCTCAAAACCAAACCAAACCAAACCAAACCAGACCAATACAGCAAGAAAAATCAAAACAATCTGATTCCCCCAAATGCAACCCAACAGTGTATGATTTGCAACATGATGAAGAACACCATGGAAAGCCAGGAGGCCTGGAGTGTTGGAGGGCAGCCTTGCCCCAGGGAGGGGCAGGGTGAGTGTGGGGCACTGTGGCACCTGATCATCACGGGACAAGGGCGTAGGGACCCAGACTCGGAGCTGGATCCACGGACTGCCTGGCTCCTGAGACTCTTCCGGAACTTTCTTTCCAGCCAGGCCTCAGAGAAGGCCACACTAACGGTTCCAGGGCCCGGAGCTGAGGAGTCTCAGAGGCCCCATCATGCCTTGCCATGGTGCATCCAGCAAGACCCCAATTCCTTCCTGGCTCTTAGGTCCCCTCCTCAGTCCCCCAATGCCCCTCCTCCCACCCCAGGGCCTCTGCCTGTGTTTCTTTCCTCCCAAACCCTGTTCTCTGAGGGGCTGTCTCCTCGTCCAGCCTTTCAGAGGTGTATTAATCAACTGTGTTCCTCGAACCCATACTTTGAGGCAGTTTATTTGGCCTCTTTGCTGTTGTTACCCTCCAGTTCCTGCGAATTTTCTTTTTTCTTTTTTTAGTACTGGGGATTGAACCCAGGGCCTTTGCACTGAGCTACAAACCCAGCCTTTTAAAAATTTGGAGACAAGGTCTCCCTAAGTTGCCACGTTGCTCAGGCTGAATTTAAGATCCTCCTGCTTCAGTCTTCTGAGTGCAGTGTAATGTTTTGAAATGATTACTACTCAGAGAGGAGACCACCCCTCCATATGGAGTTGGGCAACTGAGTTAACTGAGTTATTAGGCAATCGTGGGTTAACTGCATAACTACGCTCTTTGTAGAATGCGCCTGAATAGCCACGACAGCTTGTGTAATCTGTCATCATAGGAGCATAACAAACTCAGAAAGTCCTTCCAGAACCCTTCCCTCCCCTCCCTTCACTGCTCTGCTTTGTGTAAATCCTGGTTATTCTATTCCCAGGGAAACGCCAATGGAATTAAGCCTCATAAATGCAAAAAAGAGGTATATAAGGAAGCGCAAACTTCTATACGGGGCTCTTGAGACTTACAGGAGTCGTTCGCTGAGCCACCGGCACCATTAAAAGCTGCTTTTTTTGCTCCTATCTTCCTGTTAAGAGTGGTCTGTCTGAGGTTCCAACAGTTTCCTGCTTCACAGTCAAGCTAATCACAGAGGAATTAGTGAGCCGGGGGTTGGGATTCCATCAGGCAGGAAGGACAGAGGCCAACAGTGGAGTTTGCTGTGGCAGCCCCTGCAAGGATCTCACAAAAACGCCTCCTAGGTCCTGTGGCTGTTAGGTCCTCCTCAGAGCAGCATCAGGAGGCCAGTGGCTCAAGGGTGCCACATGGACACTGTGCGGCCTGGATCCTGAGAAGCGTGCAGCATCCTGCTGGGA